CACCCAACCCAAAACGCTAAGTCCCACCCACATGCACAAGTCTCACCCCTACAAATCACAAGTCCCAACAACATATAGGGGGGTGCACTACCATATCTCGGCACCTTGTGGTGCTAGAGAGATGGGAGACATAGAGAGACATGTGCAATAATCTCCCCGCCCCCCAATTAGTATATATATACACGTAGTTTCCGCCCCTCTAGGACGAAACAGGGCGGAGATATCGGGAGGGGTGCACTTCAAATATAGGGGGTGCACTACCGTATCTCGGCGCCTGGTGGAGCTAGAGCGTTAAAACTAAGTGCAATCGACAGGGGGTCCTCCAATTAGTATACACACCAAATTTCAGCTCTTTAGATGCAACAGAACAGAGAGTGCAATACCATATCTCGACACCTGGTGGCGCTAGAGCTACCAAACGTTGTGCAAACGATCGGGCGTCCTCTAATTAGTATATATACCGAATTTCAGCCTCCTAGGACCAAAAAAAAACAATTTATGCACTACTGTCTGTTAATCCAGAATACTGAATGATCCATTTGCACACTGCAATATTTTCTATGCACTTTTTAAAATTTCCATTGCACTAGTGTTTTGTACAGCTTAATGTATCGCTTACATATTCATTTGTAAATGATGTTCATATGTTCATAGTTTCTGCTTATAGTGTACATACACTTATTACATAATCCATATGTATAGTATGTTCATAGTATACCTATCTGTATATCATGCTGATAGTATTTAAAAATCTGTAAATTATGTCCATAGTACTGCCTTGTCTGTATATTTATTGTACATTTGTAACATATTGTAGACACTGTATATCCTGTACTTACTGCTTATTGCACTTCTGGTTAGATGCTAACTGCATTTCGTTGCCTTGTACCTTACATGTGCAATGACAATAAAGTTGAATAAAAAATTTTTTTTTTTTAAATTTCGTAAATACCCTTATTACCTAACCCTAACCCTAACTGACCCATCCCTTACACTTTAACCCACCCTTAAACCTACCCATAACACCAAACCTGTCCCTAACCTTACCCGTATCCACCTCAATAGCAGCAAAAGTGTTTTGCAATATTATATGAACACAATAAGTGCATTGTACTTATTGTTTGATGTAAGTACATAGCAGTTAAGGCCACTTACTATAATGTGGGTTTAAAATAATTTAAAATAACTTATCTATTTTAATATATTTTACAAGTAACATTTCTTATTTTGATCAGAATCACCACTGAAAATGTTTGGAAACCATGATAGAGTTTTCTTTTTTTAGGACAGAAATTTTGAAGAACGTTGTTTATTTGAAATAGAAATCTTCTGTAATATTGCAAATGTTGCCTAATGTCTTTAACACCACTGTGATCTCAAACTGTATAGTATAACTGTATATTTTCATTGTATTTTATGGAATTTCCTCTAATAAGACCCCTTAACTGTTCAGTGGTTTAGCATTGATGGCATCAGGATGCAGTAATTAATGTAATGTTTTCAAACTTTTTCTGTGAACAGAGCGGAAGTCAAAGATCTTCAAGGGCAACTGGCAGATTACAACATGGTACACTAATTTAAATCAGTATTACAAGTCTCTTTATTTTGAATCAGTAAAAGATTTGGAATTAGATTTTGGGATGCATAATGTCATTATTTAAATAATCTTTTAATTACCAGCTGGTTGACAAGCTGAACACAAACACTGAGATGGATGAAGTGGTGAATGACATAATCATGGTGAGATGACATTATTTAAACAGCAACATCTTCCTCTTTGCTCTTCTCATGTTCCTGCTAATTTTATTTTATGTTCATCTCTTTAGCTGAAAGCACAGAACGACAGAGAAGCTCATAGTATGGACATGATATTCACAGAGAGACGAGAGTAAGTCATTTTGTTTCTTCACAAGTAAAGGTTTGGCAGAGTTTGTGCACAAGAGGGCAGCAGCTGACCTGTGAAATGTTTCTCGATCTCCTCACGAGTACGACTGCTTTTCAGCTCTATCATGCCAGAGCTTCTTTTTAAATTATTCTACATATTCTACATATGATTCTACATATTCTACAGAAAAAACTACATGCAATCAATTTACATCCTGGATATTTTGTTGGATATTAGGGATACAACATTGCATACATCACTGAAAAGCTTTTAAAAAGAAAGATCTTTGAGTAAAAATTAGAATTACTTTATGATAAAGTGCTGTGACAGACAATTTTTACACACAATTACCTGCTGAGATACATGCATTTGCAATTCCAGTTCAGTGATCTTTGGGTTTCATATTTTAAAGGTTTTTTCATATTGCACTACTGCACTGGAATAAACAGATCCTCACAGTTTAATGCAAGAGCTCGTAGCTTCATTTTTCCACCCGTTTGCAGCCCCTGTCCTTCTCCTGCCGCAGATCTTGCTCAAGACTCGTCAGCATCCGCGTGTTCTCTGTAGTTTCCCGGCTCAATGTAGCCATCCTCTATAAAGCCATCATCATCCTCAAAGGGCTGCAAGCTCAGTCCAGTGTCCAACTCCTGAGCGCTCGTGTCCGTCTGCTCTGTGTCTAGACTGAAGTTGGAAAAGCGTCCGGTATTGAAGACGTTGTGCTCCACATCCTCACGGAGCCTCTGGTGCCGGTAATTAAACAGAAGCTTGTACCATGAGGGAGATTTGACAGCGCATACAATGAGCATGGAAGTGCTGAGGGTTAGAGCCACGACACCGAGCAGGAACTTCCAGCTGTGGCTTCCTGTGTGTGTCTCACCATCCCTCGCCATCAACCCTGAGGAGAAACACATGCTCTGTAGAGTCCACTGACATCAGCTGTGTATTCAACAGTATTTGAGAAAAATGTTCGCAGTTATTTATCCTGTGTCCACTAAGAGGATCCACAGCAGAGTGCTGTAACTTCGTCTGATTGTGTTATGGGTGCTGCACTGTTTGAGCTCAGTGCAAGTCACAGTGTTTTAGAGACGTTCAGGCGTGTTACTGCTTGTGTGTTTACCTTTGCTGGAGCCGTTGACGTGGCTGCTGTTGTTTGGCTCTGTGGTGGGCGCTGGTGCTGGCGTTGATCTGGTTTTCATTGTGGTAGCTGTAGATTTCTCCACAGATGTTTTGACGGTTGAGGCTTGAATTGAGCAGGAAGGGTTTCCATCAAGCACAGCTGTTTTCTGGGGGGTGTAACAAGTGACTTCTTTCCCTGCAAGACCAACATGAGATTTTGCAGATTAATAAGTCAAACAAAACAAACATTAAATTGGCAAAGGCTTATACACAGTATCTGAAAATAAAAAACAACTTAAGCACTCGTTCTCACCTATTAATACGCCGGAGTCATTCAGCTCTTTGATGAGGCTTGTGAGCGAGCAGGAGCAGTTCCATGGGTTGTCCTTCAGGTCCAAACTCCTAAGTTTTGTTAGTCCTTTAAAGATGTTTATGTCAAGGGTCTGCAAGCTATTTCCCCTCAGTTTAAGAATCTCTAGGTTAGTGAGTTTGTCAAAGGCTCGAGGAGGCAGCATCTGTATGAGGTTATAAGAAAGGTCTAGCACAGTAATCCTGCGATATTTCTGTAAGGTGTTTATATCCGAGGCGGACATCACAAGTGAGTTGTTGCTTAGGATCCATCTGGTGATGTTTGTAGGTGTATCTTCTGGAATCTCTGTCAGAGATGAGTTGCCCATGTCCACCTGAACACAAATGGTGAATGTTTGTTTGACATCGGAGTGTAATGCTTGACGAGCCATGAGAACAGGAGACTGCGGATCCTCCCTTTTTTCTTTTTTTTTACTGTGTTTTACATCAACTTGTAATTCTCCAGTCTATGATTTGGCTGTGACTAATTGTTAGACAGTAACATAGACATGAATATCACTTTGATACAGAACATGTTGGCATAACTGAGTGTGAAAGACACTCACCTGCTGTGCGATTACACCGGTGCTCATCAGAACCGCTGCGACCCACACCACATGCATCTGTCTCCCGGCCATGATCTGTGTTACCTGTGATAACAGCACTGCATCAACCAAACAAAAAGCGTCCTGCCCATAAGAGGAAAGCGAGCTCTTGCTAAATTGTCCTGTCTGTTGTGAGCTGTAGTCATAAAGAGCAGAGAAGGTTCTTGAGAAAGTAAAAACACTCTTAATGAGTGTCACACAAAGAGGATCTTTGTGCAGATGAGTCCCTCTCCTATCAGCATGCTGCTGTCCCGTGTCTCTCTGCTTGTGTTTGTTGCTGTTTTATGTTATCTGCCATCAGCCACAAAGATACTCATGGTCTTCTCTGGCTGGCATGAGACACAAAGTCACCCAGTGTTCTCTAGAGGAGTGAGGCCTGTTTTCTTGCTGTGATGCATTATTGTTCAGTTGCATTAAGGACAGATGCTTGTTTCATTCTCATCTTATAAACATGGACTGGCTGGAAAGGTTCCTTTTTTTATTTTATTTTTTTACCAGAGCCCGCCTCAATTGCAGAATCAGTGTCATATGCTTTGCGCTTGCTCTCATGTGTGCAATTCTCGATGTCTCTAACAGAGACTTAGAAGAGGTTGTTATAGTATGTTGTCTATTCAATACAGTTGCAATTTATTGAATTACCACATCTTTAATATGAATGTGTTTTTCAGGATCTGTCGTAATAGTAATGTTGGGCTAATTCCTATTACTGGATTTAAAAGACTCTCTAGCGATAAGTGTAGCTCTGTTTTTCTCCTCAACTCCTCCAAAAACCTTTGTCTTTGTCTTTTCCTGTATTGCCTGTATACCACTCACAGTCCCTGTTAGATATTTACATGTGTCAGTGTTTTGCGTCCTGTGCAAATTTGAGACTGGTTT